CACCTACTACTAGACTTTTCCTGTCCCTTGCCCTTCATCTTACCACTTTCATCACTCGAGTCACTACTCGGATCACCACTATTTTGAGCTCTACACAAATTCATTTACTTAAATTTCATCCTACTCCTTATCATGTGTAACTCACCACTCCTCTTATCTTCATTTTTAGCCTTTATTTCCATCTCCTTACTCCTAAGTGAGTCTATGACAATCTCGGGAGTCAACGTATCCCTACCATACTTAATGGCATTTTTAACTTCCTTATATGACTCAGGCATGGAATTAAGCAGGATAATAGTCTTATATGTTTTAGATATGGTTTCTTCACAGTTAATAATATCTTGGACAAGTTTATTGAAAACATCCGATTGTCATCAAGATCCTTTGAAGGATCCATTTTAAAATTGAAGAAACGCTCAAGAAGATAAAGTTTATTGGGAGTGGATTTAAGCAAATATGGATCTTCCAACTTTTTCCAAAGATCTTTTGTGATTTTTAGTTTTCCTACTTTTCTCAAAACAGCGTTAGACAGATGTAAAATGATTGAGGTATAAGCAAGCTCATCGACTTCTTCTTTTTGTTCTTTTGAAAAATTAGCTGAAAAATTGCCTTCTATAGCTTTTGAAACCTTTTGTTGAATCAAAATACCCTTCATTTTTTGTTGCTAGATTGAAAAATCTATTTTCCATTAAAAATACCAACTTCGAAATGCGAAGACATTTTTGGAAAAACAAGGCATTCAAATGCACAAATAGATCACACAAAGTAATCATATGGCCACAATATACACCGTTCTAGATTCTCAGGGTTTCGTAAGACTCGTGGTCTTAGATCAAGGGAACGTTTGAACGGGTAAGGTCTAGGTATTCTAACAAAAGTAACAACACAGCGAAATTTATGATGCAACAAGATAGGTATATCTAATTAAATGAAATTTCACGACAATTTTAACAGAAAGCACAATACGCTAATTTATTCAAAAATAAGTACTCAATCACAAAAGAACAAGCAATTCTAATTTCTAGCAAAAGCAATGGTTGCCAAGTAATGACAACCCCCAATCCTAACGATCACCTCGTACGTTGATCTACTAATGCTGAAATTTAAATTGAGATAAACCAATATACCAGAGCGGACCTATCTGAGTTCGTAAGTTACGAGAGATGTGAATTTACTTTTTGGGGCCGCAATTTTGGCCTAAAGTAATTTGGTAAATATGTGGCAATTTCGACCGTTGATCCACCAAGGGTAAAATCGTCCAACTTTTTCTGTGTAACCTGAAACAGAAAACTTCCAACACGAAAAATGTTAGAAATAATGTGAAGAACAAACTGCTTGAAGACAGCTTCCCCAATCAACGCCACGCGCCCTCATGGGCCACCGCCGAAGATGCCACGCGCCGTCGCCGGAATCACGCACCACACACCCAACACCGCCTCCACTTGCACGTCTCAACCCTGGTCTCCGTTTCACCAATGGACTTCTGGATTGATGGAAAATCGTGTTTGCAGGTGCGGTTTTTGGCGTAAAAACTGGGCAGTCTGATTTTTCTATTTTCTGTCGATTTTTGGTTTATTTCTGGTCTGATTTTGGCCGAAAATTCCACCCCAACCCCGCTCTGATACCAAATGTTGAAGAATCGAGCTCCAATGGTGAATTTTTCGAGCTCAGTTTCACCAATCTCAACCTTATTAAACATACCCAAGTATGGCTCCAACCCAAACAACGATTCTTACTCCAATTGCTCAACTCAATGTATTCACAAAGAACACAATATGGTGGCTGCAATGAATAAATAAGAATAGAGGAAGATAGGTTCAATTTCAAGACTCAAGAGAGAAAACAAGAGAAAAGTCGGCTGCCTCATTTTTCAATTGCACACACGCACGACTTATTTAACAATGAGGCCAATATAGTTTTAGGGTGTAATAGTAGTGGACTAATATAGTGGGCACATGGACCAACTAATGGTTAAAGGGGCCGGAACACAAAAGTGAGCCATCCAAGAAGTAAATGGGCCGTGTGCAACATTAATTATATTAAGTTGCTTCAAACGACTCTCAAGTTGTTTTTCGGGTTGAGCCGATTAATCGAGTGTGTTAATAAATATTTCAATCATCAGCCGAAACCTATGAAATCTAATCCTACAACCCAATATTGTTTAACATCATCGCTCGAGATTATTGGGTATCAAAAAACCCAACAATATAACTTTTGGCTTTCCATCACTTTGGTCCTTAAATTACTTTTGAACCCTCTTTTGTATTTCCCTTAAGTCTTTCAACTTTCAATTTATTCCAATTTGATCCATGTCCCCTACAATTTTCCATCATCGGTCAAAATTAAGTTTTAGAGATTTGTAATTTGGTCGTTGGACTTTACAATTGTTCTTGTTTTGCCTTTTTGACAAATTTCACTTCTTTTCATCAATAGCGTACTACCATTGCATTTATCCTACAACAATCCATATTCAATCAAATTAAGCAACAGTTCTATCAAATTAGCTCTCCAATATCCACTTTTTACAGTGTATAAATTACTTTTATCTAATAAACCCAAATCTGAACGCTTATTCGTCTTGACCAAAATTGGCAACTTAATGCCAAAAAATAAAAAATAAAAAATACAAATAACTTTAGTAAAAATATTGTCCATTTTTCTCACATTTTGAAATCACTTCTACAATTCATAACTAACTTACAAAATATACTACCAAAATTGATTCTTCCACTTATCCAATGCTATATCGATGTATGTGTGCATTCATAGTAAAGTCTATTATCATAAACTCTATAGTTGGCTCTTTCTCAATCCTCGAAAACAAATATTTCCTCTCTTGAAAGATGCAAGCTCTAAACTTGTCCTTATAAATATTAAATTCTCACCACTCATTCCCTTCCTAGTCAAATTTGGGTGGATTAACCAATAAAATTTGCTATCTTGATTTGTGATGATTCTACCTAAATTCAAGTGCCTCAACCTTCGAGCTACACCCAAGCTAATAATAGTCATTAGAAATTTATGTCTCAAATTGAAGTGTGCAAGGTTTAGATACAAAAAGCAGCACTTTCACCTTTGTCACTACTTACATGTTCACGTAGATAATATGTAACATGCACTTTTTCCTTTTTCTACATGACTACTCTCTCTCTCTCTCTCTCTCTCTCTCTCTCTCTCTCTCTCTCTCTCTCTCTCTCTCTCATATTTTCAGCATGCAAGTATCTATTTTGCTTAGTCATTGATAAAAATCAACACTAGGCTGCTTCTTCGTAGTTTTTCTTTCCGCTCTAAGGTAGATAGCACCGCTCAATATCGATTTTTGATTCATTATAACTTTTATCCAAACCACTTCTTTCAAGACTTTTACCTTACTCTTTCTGAACTGGTGCAATACCTTAATGTTAGGATCAGTAATTTGGGATTAGACTACTAATTTATGATTCCTACCTAGTTTTCACTTGTTAGTCAAAAACACTCTCCACAATTGTTTACAAGCATGAAATACACACCTATCTCATAGGTTCAAACGCGGCTCAACCACCCTCAATCTATCCTTTCAAATGATCAAGGAATTATGTTATATGGTATGATTTTAATTCAATAACCTACATTCATGCACCTTCAATCTATTCTGTTGATGTAACCACTTCAAAGATATACTATGATTAAGGTGACTATCGTGCTTCAAGTGTATCAAATCTAACAGGGATAAGTTTCACAACGATGGAAATGGCATAACTTAGTAGCAATTCATAAATCAAATCTTTTGTCATCGATGTAAAAAATGAAATGCTCTTTAAAACGACTAAGAATATTGCTATTCAATGAGATAGTTTTGGTGTATGTGTATCAATTACACATGAATCTCAGTTTCTCTTCATATTTTTCTTAACTTTAGGGCTCATCCTTCAGTTTATCATTTGAAAAAAAAGCGTTATAACTGCTCGGGAGATATATTACAGTAAAGGCATTAACTCAAAGAACTATATGACTCAATTCGAACCGAGCACTCAATCCAAAAGGCTGTATCTCAAAGTTAAACTTCATCTGATAGGTCATATGTGCGGTACCATTGCCGAGAATGATTATTCATCCTTAAATGACCATGGCCTGAATACAGGCGAGGACATAAACCTTGCCTCAAAACTGTAGGTGTACAAATTTAATTAAGGATTTGATTATCTGCTGTATGTTGGGTTATAAACTCATGTCATCGATTAAGGATCATACTACATGTACATCATGCTTTTCATAAAAGTTACATAATACCACATGGTTTTTTACCAGTGGACAGTTTAAGACACAATCGTTTCTTCCATCCAATCACCTCCCCCCACATATCCTTTTTGCACTGCTTCTGGACGGTTATTTTTGGCAAGGTAGATTAATCCATCTATGAATTTCAACTTTCTCAAAAAGGCAATATCTAAAACGAAACCTAATCGTATCAGCTCATTGGGCAAGTGAAGGAACTTGAGGGAGAACTATACCATTTGCCATCTGTTTTCAAATCTGTTTTCAAAGGATCTTGTAGGCTCTGATACCAATTTATGATGAAGAGGACTGATTTGGATAGTAATTTAGGAGAATATTATTAGAGAGTGTGAAGAGGTGAGAGAAGAAACTTGTATCTTATAAACTTTAAATCGACTTATTAAAAAGAATAATGCTAATCCTGGTGAAAAACTATCGATAGTCGACTTACGTGGCATACTCATGACAGTTCGTTATTTGATGTATGAGATAATAAAAAAATACCGCATTAACGTATCAAATAACAAATTGCAATATGTATGCTATGTAGAACGACTACCACTAGTGTTTACTATGAATAGCATCTCTATTGTGTAAATGGATCTTCCAATTACCTACTAACATCCTCTAAATACTCTCAAATACAAGATAATTCCAAATAGTGAATTTCTATAGCATGATTTATTCTAGAACATAGATTGTTACCATATGGGTTCACTTAATTACAATAATTAACAAATCCAAACTAAAATAATAACATGGCCTGAATCATGTTCATTTTAAAACATAGCATACTACAGGTATTACAGGGTTTTCACAATCCACATTACAGGTTTTATTGAACTCAAGATAAGATTAAATAAGAAGATTATATTACATGGCATACAATTTATTCATGCATCAAAACAAGCTCAAGTACGATTGAAACTCTATATCACATGCATCCTTAATAATCTGATTTATCAAAACAAGCTCAAGCTGTTGACAGGAAGATCTTGGGAAGTGATTTCTTGAACATAACTAGTACGTTGCTCGATAATTGGTGGGTCGGTGGTGGCAACACTGGAGATGGAGGAGGTCGATTTGGACGCCTTCCATAATTTTGAAGGTTTGGGAGCGAATCCATTGTTTGTTTATTCTTGCTAGTAATCTTCGAGACTGGATTTGAGTTTGGTTTTTTGACCATATTATTAGGCAGAAACTTTGATACCTCCTTGGTCGGTGGAGATGAAAATGGAGCTGGAGGTGTTGTCTTTGGACGCCTTCCCACGTATTTCTCAGCCTTGAATTCATTGCAGTGATCTGAAGTACAAGAAATTGTTATTACATATGACTATTTGATTAAGAAGCATCAGACAAACAAAACAAATATTTGTGTATCAGAAACTAAGATGTAAAAAACAAATTAGAACAGAAAGAAAAACACACACACATATATATCGTGTGTGTGTGTCATTTCTAAAAGTTTGGCTTTGAGATGAGGTGGTTCACAATAGCATTTGAACGTGCAATGGTCTAAACTTTAATCGGCTATCATTAATGAAAATTCTATATTGTGTCGTGAAGAAAATAGTAATGAATGCAGCTTGTATGCAAGGGGATGTTTTAAACAACAATATTGAAAAAGAAAGCTACTTACCGAACATGTTGTAAATGTTTAAGGTCGAATGGTGCAACACTTCGAAAAGTGATCCAACATTAAATTATTTTTCTTGGATTAACATAATTTTATGCATTAGAAATTAAAAAAGAAAGAGTTGCAAGCTGAAGTATTACCTAGCAAAGTCCTTGCTTGAGTACCAACAAAAGCAAAGAGAGAGAGGAGAAGGAAAGACCTCATTAGGAGAGCTCCCATATTTGTTACCACTTATACCCAAAACAATAGCTACTTTAGGGTATTTATAGACATGAAAATATGAAATTAGGTAAAGAATGGAAAGCAAATATATGAACAGATAAAAATATAATATGTTTGTGGTGTCCATATGTTAACTTTTCGTTCGTACGAGCACCTGCCTTCCGCTATTGTCATTTTTACTTTCGGTGAAGTAGTTGATGATGTTTTTAACTTAGTTCTAGCCAATTCAATATAATATTTAACTCATATATATATGATTCTTTCTAACAGTTGAAACTTTTAAATCAATATAGTATCAAAGCATGCAAATATCGTGGATTCAAATCTCAATTTCACTTATTTAATAAAATTATGTACATGTCAAGTTTTGATGGGGAAAATGAATCCTTACTTCTATTTTGCACTTGTCCTCCTTAGCACTTGAATGATGTATCCAATGACGTGACGAGCAACCAACTTTATTAATTGTAGCCCAACAATTGCACAAGCATGATCTTTCTACATAACTTACCTAACCTTTCAACAATAAGCATTTGGACATTCATTCCAAAACTTATTGAAATTCACCAATTTTATACTTTTAACTTGTTTGACCTAAAAATACGTGTGTCAACGATCATTCACAATCACCAATATTAACTGATTAAATCAACGATGTACTTATTTACAAAAGCTAACAAGTTCTTGAAGAAGCATTCTGGCACGCCAATTTAGAAGCCATACTTTCACACTCCAAAATCATCTATTTTTAAATGGAATAGTTAAATAGTTAAAGGGTCGAAGATTCGGACTACATGCCATGTAATATTAGCATGTGAAAAAAAGACTACTTACTATTTGCAACTTGTTCACGCGTTGATTTCCATACAATAATTTGAGTCTTACTATTGGCAGCATATTTCTATGAAACAGGACAAAGAAGGCAATTAAATATAATAAACCACATCTAATCCTATATTTCAAGATTTTAATACCTTAGTAAGGATTAAAATCAAGATTATAATTTAAGTCAAATGCAATAATTTATTTTAACCACATATTTTATGAGACTTACAACTTTTCAATTACACATTTCATCAACGTTTATCAAAATTTATTAAAAATTGATTTTAATATTTACCAAACAGGAGCATAATATATCTTTCTAGACATGCCATATGTAGTTTTACGTTAATTTGCTGCAAATTAGGCTGTGAAGTATTACAAAATCGATCAGTCGATGATTCACACGAATACTAGGCCCCTATTTGGTGGGATTAAAATTAAATTTTTAGTAGATTTTGATAAAAGTCGATGAAATGTGTGGTTGAAAAATTGTGGGTCACGTAAGATAGGTGGTTGAAATTAATTATTGACTTCTAATCCTATATTTCAAGATTTTAATACCTTAGTAAGGATTAAAATCAAGATTATAATTTTAGTCAAATTCAATAATTTATTTTAACCACATATTTTACGGGACTTACAACTTTTCAATCACACATTTCATCAACGCTTATCAAAATTTATTAAAAATTGATTTTAATATTTACCAAACAAGAGCATAATATATCTTTCTAGACATGCAATATGTAGTTTTAAGTTAATTTGCTGCAAATTATGCTGTGAAGTATTACAAAATCGATCACTCGATGATTCACACAAATACTAGGCCCCTATTTGGTGGGATTAAAATTAAATTTTTAGTAGATTTTGATAAAAGTTGATAAAATATGTGGTTGAAAAATTGTGGATCACGTAAGATATGTAGTTGAAATTAATTGTTGCCTTTATAAATTAAAATTTAGATTGAAAGTTTGTCAAACATGAGCTAAATGTTTTGGCCGAATATTGCAAAGAACTGACATTCTATAATGGGATGTGCCTACTGAGTAACTAAAGAAACCCTAATTAAGATTAACTAATTGAAATCTGTCCACCAAGTGGAGAAAAATAACAAAATAAGCACAAGTATTCAAGAAAATGAAAGTGCCTATTTGACGAGTTCAGCTTTGTTTTGAAGCCATTGTCCATCTAATATATTTTTGATAAATCGACACATCATCACTTTTCTGCAAATGAAAAAATGTCTGTATAAAAAAAAAATTGTTATCGTCTCCTCATCTATTCAGAAGAGATAATGAATGGAATTGTCAAAAATTTATTGACAAATATCTTCACTCGTGTTCAAAAGCTTAAATAATAGAATTCGGCCAAAAACCTATTGACTTGAAGTCTTTGCATTCCACTTTGTACATGTTAAGCCCCTGTTTGATTCCCTATTTTCGGATAAAATGCATTATGAAATAGTGATTTTTTTGGAAAATATGTGATTAAAAAATAAGAAATTTTTTTTGAAATACGTGTATAATTATTTTATAAAAGAATTTGCAGTTAAAAATAAATTTTGAAAAAATACATTATTAAAAAAAATGGGGCTAAACAAGGACTAAATAGGCATCATATAAAATATTGCAAATATTGGAACTCCACGCCACCCCCAGTCAGCACAAACTTTTAATTCATTATTTAATATTTACTTTGGCAAAAATCTTGTAGCAATCGCACATTAACCTCGTTGATCAAGTTGCACTTCCACATCAATCATTAAGGAAACAATATTTTAATTTTTTTTATTGTAAACTTAACCTCCATACTTTCAACTTTTATTATTGAAGCCACCATAGGTGCAGTAGTTTCTTTCTAGAATTTATTTCACCAACTTTAAGATCATATTTACAGTGAAAATTAAAAATGTGATAAACATAACAAAATAATTTTTAGTGGTAAGTTTGAATGCCATTTACTGATTGCATGGAAGTTCCGTTATGGACTTGTGGTGTGAATGTCAATTTAATAATTTTCATTCATTTGGGAGACGAAAAGTGATTAAGTGGCAAAATTTTAAACTAGATTGAAGTTTAGTATAACTAAACTTAAAACTCAATAAAAGTTTAGTGACTCAATTGATAAAATTTAAAGTTTAATGATCCAATTGAAATTTCATTAAACGTTCAACATAGATGAAGTTTACACACGAAACATACAATCCAATCACTGGTTTGAAATTTAACACTTCATCCAATAGTGCAATTCTAATGATATCATATCTTGTTTGTCATTTATAGTGAAAAGACCATCGAAGTTTAGATCGAAATTTTAGTCTGGTAGAATGTTTGGATTCCTCATTCTATTTGTTGACTTGTATATATTGATGATACAATGGAAGGAGGCCAAGGTCTAAACTCCAAAGCTACAAAAATGGGAAAGTAGATATAGCTTAAAAGAGTGAATGTGGAGATTAATTCTATTAAATAATATCCTAAGTGCAGTATCAAAATTAGCAAAAAAAAATATTATTTAAAGCGTACATGAAGAATCTATTCACAGTCTAATCTAGCTGTGCCTCTTAGTTTACCAAGGATGTTTGATCGGTCTATAATGGCTATTCCTTGTCTCTTGCTCTCGAGACATTAGTTTGCAAGTCAGTTTGCCTTCTCAATAAATATGGCTCAATCTGAAATTTATCTTTTTAATAATATCCCAAATGCCTAATACCTAATAGTTGATTCTCCACTGCATAATGCATACAATAAAATTTTGATTTTTATCCTTTTTTTTTTTTTTTGGAAAAAAGGATACTCGACTTTAGGACTCATGCACAACATAACCTAACTTAAAGAATCTAAGGAAACAAATAAACTAACAAAAGCGTCCGTGAAAAGAACATAGGATCCCCCGATTGCGCTCTTTCTAAAAGCGAAAAATTAATAAGAGTAAAGTATAAGTTATTGGAGATGGTCCTTGATCCACTTGTAATGCAGAAAGTTACTTAACCCCACACAATTATGTGTTTTCATTACAAATGGAAGACATGAACTAATTTAGACTCTATTGATTTTATGTTTTTTGGTCCACCAAATGGACATGATGTATTTTTCTAGAATATCATGTACTAAAGCATCAGCAAATCTAGTAAAAGTTATCAGCAATAGATTTAGCACTTTAGAACTAAATTAGTTACCTAGAAGCCTTATTCAATCCAGTATTCTTAGTGCAAATATTATTTCGACTTAGTGACAGAAACTAGCTAGGGATTTATATTTCTAAATTTATTAT